ATATTGGTTTGTGTACCGATAGGTTCAATCTATTTGGGTTTTTTTTGTGCCTATTCTTATTAGTCGATCATACTAACAATTGACAACTTACTCTTAGGGATGTGTTTAAGGTCATAATTCATATACTTGGTCCTTACAGTCTAAGTAAGAATATAGGTGTTTATCTTTAATCATTGATTGATGAGTTGAATTAGTTATAATCATTCAAGGTTTTAACAAATAATGTCTAAAAAAACAAAAGTCTCAAATGAAGACAACTTTGATGTGAATTATAAATAATTTTCTTGTATATGTAATAGTTTTAGGATGGAGCATACATGGAAAATTAGCTAGCCCATACTGTATGGAAAAACAATAAGGTATTCATCTTAATAAATGGTGGTAAAGCTTTTTCTTTTTTATGGTCATCAGAGATTTTTACCAAGTCATCATCAATATAGAAACAACATAAATGACTCTTGAAATATAAAATAAAAAGGTTGCATCGTTAGTATTGTCAAGTTAAAAACTGTATAATGTAGTTTTGCAGTATAAAGACCTTGTATTTAGCTTTCAGCTTGGTAAGCAAAAATTTTATGATTTTAGTGTGACCTATAATTGTGTAAAATATAGAGTATTTTTTATAAGCTTTCTTATTGGAAAACTAATATCATCCACCATAATTTGAATATCATGCATATCAAGAAGGTGTTTGAAAATATTTTTAACATGGTCATTGACATCAAAAAGAAAACAAAAGACAATATAAAAACTTGAATGAATATAGCTTTGTTTTGTGACTGTTAGAACATGGAGTTGCTTAATGATGGAGTACGAGTCACAAAGCCCAAAACTATATTTGCTTTTGATAAAAAGCATAGTTTCTTGTCTATGAATGACTTAAGATTTTGTGATTTTCTAATGAATATGCTTTGAACATAAATAAATTGGTGAATTTGAAGGAATATAAATTTTATGAAATGAAGAGTCATGACTGCTATGTATTCATGCAAATATTCATTTTAATTGCTTATAAGGATTTGTTCTGAAAATGGATAGGGAATGCACTCATAAATATTAGTTATTTTTTAGAGATATTTCCTAAAGCAAAACATGTTTCCAACACATTAAACATCTTGAAATGAACATCATTAAGATAATATGCAAACTTGAAATGATCTTATCTCCTTTCTTCTTCGATTCAATGGAGCATATACCTATATATTTAGCATATAAAGTAAAAGTTGGAGGGCTTATGTAGTATATATAGATGTATCTATCCGAAAGGTTAAGGATTATATCATCGTAAATGTTTATATATATCTATTCAAAATGTTAAGGATTGCATCATCATAAGTGTTTGTTGTGTTTTTTATAAACATTTGGTCATTCAACCTATATTTACTTCCATATAGGTGTTTGTTTAACCTTAAGAAAAAAAATATTAAATACAAGGTGCATGTTGAAGCTTTGACATGAAAGACTTTATTAATGAAGACATTTCAACAATTATCTCATATTGTTTTGAGCCTCATATGAAAAAAAAAAAAATCAATAGTGTTCCAAGATATAATGATAGTGGCGAAGTACCTTTGAGAGAGAATTTATCAATATTTTTCCATCCTAGATGACCATTGTCCAATAATGCAATTTCAAGAAGATATTTAATAGACATTGAATTCAAACAAGCATAGAATTATATGTTATTTAACTCTAATGAATTGATATATTTTGATTAGTAACTTAATTTTATGATTTTATAGTGTTAAATCATTTTATTTTTTATTCTCATATAGGTTAAAATCTCAGTAACTTCCTTCTCGGCAAAATCATTAGTTTTTGTTATCCCAAAATTTTTATCTTATTGAATCTCAATTTTTTTAAGTATAGGATGAATAATATTTCACATGGTTTAAAACTCAAGTACATAATAATATATAGATCAAATAAGATTACATTGACTTAATTTTTTTCATTAATCATTAATGGTTGTTATCTTTAACCATGTGTACAACATGGAAATCAATGTTAATAGTTTGACATCATTACTTAAAGGTCACGAAAGAAATATGTAGTGTTTAAAATCACTATTTTTGAATCGAGTTATAAAACTATGGTTGAAACCACCATGCATTATGGATTTAAATTACGACTTTTTTTGACATTATCATTCAATTCTTTCTTTATTCGTGCTTTGAAATTGTGTATTCTTGAAATTAGACTTTGAGATTTATTTTGTTTTACTTTTTATGTGTTGATGTTGTTTATGGGGATTGTTTTTAATTTTGATTGATGCTCGATTTTATAAACTAGATTTCAATTTAATTTATAACAATTAAAGATTTAGAGACACGAGTTAAAAATGTTACAAAACTTTATGCTATTTTTTGGTCAAACCAAGGACTAAGATGAAATAAATAGAAAGAATGAATGACACTTGTAATATACATCTCAACATGTAAGTGAAGCCATCATGATGCGATGGCACATAAACCTTCTTCCATGCTCCAAAGGTGGATTTTCATGGTACCGTTAGAATTGTTTTGGTGGAGGCTTTATTATAAGGTGGCGCGTGGTACTTCTGAAACCTCGGTATGGCTTTGATAAATTTTTTTTCTTTTTTTTCTTCCCTTTTTTCTTTTTCCTTTCATTGATTTTCATGTAATTCCCTCTCTAGAATTGCAAACTGAACTATAATTTTTTTCTTATTAAATTTGCTCATTATTTTTTTATTTTTTTCCTCAATATCTTCCTTAACCATTGGGTTAATTGGGGATTAGGTTTTGTAATTTTTTTATTTGCTTTCTATGAAATAGTTCTAGTTTCGTAAGCTTAGTCACATATTTGAGAAGTTAACTCAGGTAAGCTTGGTTTCTTTTTTTTTTATCTTTCTTTAAAATTAATTTATTTTTTAATTTCATCCTTGAACATTCAGTTGATTGGAAATTAGACTATGTGATTTTTTTTACAAGATTATCTCGGTCTCATGATCAGGGTCACAAGTTTGAAATATTAACCGAGGTGAACTTTGTTGTTTCTTTATACTCCTTTTTTTATATTCATATTTTTTTAATTACATCCTTTAATATTTAGTTTGTTAAAAGTTGGCTTTGTAATTTTTTTATTTGTTTTCTAATAGGTTATTCATATCTTATGATTAGGGTCGCGGGTTTGACAAGTTAACTTATATTGAATTGGGTTCATGTTATTTTTTAAAAATTAAATTTATTTCTCAATTTCATCCTTCAGTACTAGATTGATTTAAAATTAGGCTTTGTAAGTTTTTCAATTTATTTTCTACAAAGTTATTTCATTCTCATGACTCAGATTAAAGGTTTGGTAGGTTTACACAAGTTGAATTGAGTGTTTTTTTAATTATATTTTTTTATTCTTCAATATTTGCATTGATTAAGAATTAAATTTCATAATTTGATTTAATTTTATTTCTATTAATTTATCGTAATCTCATACCTCAATTCTTGAATATTTTAGGTTAATTAGAAATAACTCAAGTCAATCTAATATATTATAATTTTAATATTTTTTTTTTTAAATGTTGTTTGATAAATCACCTCTAAATATTTTTAAAAAAAATATCATCAAATATACATTAAATCTTAATTTCATAATTAAAACTGTTTCTCTAGGTAATAACTTGATTTTTTTTTTCTTTTAAAAAAATTAGTTCTAACCACGATGTAATGCATGCCATGCCGGTAACGATGTAGTCACTTTTCTAAAAATAAAGTCACAGATCCAATGGGCTAAATTTGAAGTAGATTTAGCTTATCGAGAGACCCGACTTCTCCAGCCCAGACCCGAAACCCAAATTATGTTTCATACTATCATTCACTTTATCAATTCGAAAGAGCAAACACGAGGAAGCTTCTCTTTTGTTCTCTTGAGAGTGTCTGCAAGGGGAAACGAAAAAAAAAAAAAAAACGATCG